GGATCTAGCGATTTGGCAACACTCGCTTTCCTCCATTTAAACCTGGGATGAAGAATCGGTTCTTGTTGGAGCAACGGTCCCCTCCGAGAATCGATACATTTCCATAGGTTTAAATGGAGAAAACACAATGTTGCCAATTTGCTTGATCCGCCAATGGATAGCACCGACTTTAGGCGCTCCGAGCAGAGTTCAGCTTAGGGGCGCTAAAAATGTGAATCTCGTGAAGTTGTTCTCTATCAACAAACGGAGCTTACCGGCACACAATGGATCGAGTCAATAGGAGAGGTCGGACAAAATCTGGAAACTTTTTTTTTTTTTTACTGCTTCAAATAGCCCTCAAGGGCTAATCCCACGCTTTAAGTCCCATCCCCTCTCCGTCCCTACTGAACCAGTCCCAGGCAACCATTGTTTGAGACCATCAAACTCAAAAGCTCATAATTCCGATTGCATAAAATTTTGAGGTCTTGAGCATTGTCCTAATAGTTTTCTCGTAAAATTTTCTTTCAGATTCACCCCTCACAATTTATGAGTCTCGCGATTTAAAATTTGACGAAATAAACATGTTTGCAGTTTTAGTCAAAAATTTCACGTCCGACCATTCTAATTGACTCCATCCACTGTGCGGCAGGTGGCTGTAAAGTGACAAAAATTTCGATTCGTAAACCTTGAACTTGAATTGACCCGTTGGTTTCCTCGAGGCGGGAACCACCGAGGGCAGACGATGGCGTCTCCGTTGACGAGAGGTTGAACCGGCTCCAAGATTCNGGTGGGGGGGGGGGGGGGGGGGGGGGGGGGGGGGGGGGGGGGGGGGGGGGGGGGGGGGGGGGGGGGGGGGGGGGGGGGGGGGGGGGGGGGGTCCGGTCAGGAGCATGTGAACTGAACTGAACCGAGTCCGATGGGAGTAAGTGAAAGTTAATTACCTTATCTTCATTTTACTCAGGTATTTGTACTCTCTGCTCACCGTCGCTCGGTGAAACCAACCACGAAATTTGCTGGATGAAAGAACGGAAACATTTGTTCCGTCGATATTGGCTTTTAGCCGCGATATTACCAGTTTGATAAATTGATCATTTCATTCTCATAACCTTCTAAATTTTGTTCCGATTTGGGGTCATCTTCAGGACCTGAGTGCGAGGGTGGAAGAGGGGAGGTTGGGGGCGATAAAAATTAAGAAAACCAAGGTAAACTTACTGATCAAATGATAAAAGTGTACAGGCGTATCGATAAGTTTACACTAGTTTAAGTAATCATTGACAAAAAATGATTATTTGCGATGAATGGCCAAAATTAGTTCTTACGCGGAGGCGAATTACTTCTTGAGAGGGGTACGCTGGAAAAAGAGAGGGGGGGATGGTGAAAAAAATAAAAGAGGAGGAGATTAATAGGGCGGGTCAATACCTTGAATTAAAAAAAAAATAAATGAATAAAAGATATTATATCGCAACGGCGACCCGTTTTCTTTGATCGAATAATTCCCTCGCCATCAAGTAGTATCATTCTGTATTTTTGTCATGACTGAAAATAATAGTTTCAAAAAAAATTTGACTAACATTTTTTTTACTCGTCATTATTTGATCAGAAACACGGCAAAAAAAAATTAGTTTGAAAGTAGGAGTCACTATAACTGTTGATATTCCAGGATTTGCCCATCTGAAATTCCTTATCAGCTCGAATGAATGTCACTGTTTCTGCTACACTAAAAATGAGTCATCATTGGATTTCTTGCTCAGATGAGGAGAAGTTTGGATTAAGACGGCGTAAAAAAATACAGTTCCTTTTCTTGGCAAGTTTCTTATATAGAGCGCTATGGAGACTACTCATTGCCTCAATGAAGCAGTTAATTACCCCGCAAGTAAAATTTTCGTTGTGGCATCGAAAATTTACTTATCGCGGTGAGATTTACGTTTGTCATGACTTTAAACAAAGTATTTGTATTTTCTGCTTCATTGACTTTTATAATTGCTCCAGGGGAGTTTCATTTCAATCGCTTACTTTTAAGAGGAGGCAAATTTAACTTTCTACAGTCCAAAGCTCTATAGTATCTTCTTAAGGCAAGCTTTTGTCATATCAGTTTTGAGTTTTTCGCTTGTTCTATTCAAGAATGTGTAAGTCAAAGTCGAAAATTTTGACCATGTGAGCTTAAAGAATCTCCTACCAAAAGAATGATTTCGCGGTTTCCTTGTATTTTGACTTGTCAAGAGACGTCTCGTTTCGATTCGCGTCGAATTCGTCCCACAGCCTGTCAACGTGCTTGGCCGCGAGTCCAAGAGGAATCGAAAGTGATTGTGATTCTCTCCGTGGTTTTTGTTGGCGGAAGGAGAAACCACATGACAGTCGACTTTATGACACCTCGGTCGCGTAATGAAACTCACTGAAATATTGGAGCATTAACGGAGTCCTCGCCCAGGAAAGGTCTTCAGCGAAGACCCGAAGAATTGCACTGAATTCGTCGTTGGTTCGGATTCTCTGTTCGAAGCTTTGGCAAGCCCGTCGAGCAGTTCAAGTAAATCAAAACCGGAGGTAAACGAACATCGAAACATCGAACAAATGTCACATTGAAAGTTTCACTTCGGAGTTTTGGGTTGTGCCCTCACGATGACACCAGAAGCGAATCCAGCGATCTGGTAACACTCGCTTTTCTCCATTTAAACCTCTGAAAAAGAATCGATTCTTGTCAAAGAAACTGCCCCTCCCAGAATCGATACATTACCATGGATTTAAATGAAGAAAAACAATATTGCCGACTTGCTTGATCCGCCGATGGATAGCACCGACTTTAGGCGCTCCAAACGGAGTTGAGCCTAGGGGCGCTAAAAATGTGAATCCCCTGAGGTTGTTCTCTATCAACAGACGGAGCTCACTGGCACACAGTGGATCGAGTCAATAGGAGAGGTCGGATAAAATCTGGAAAACTTTAAAAGCTCATAACTTCGTTTTTATAAAATTTTGAGGTTTTAAGAATTGTCCTATTGGTTTTCTCGTAAAATTTTCTTAAAGAATCGCCCCTCGAAATTTAAAATTTGACAAGAAACATGAAAATTTGCAGTTTTAGTAAAAAATTTCACGTCCGACCATTCTAATTGACTCGAATCACTGAGCGGCAGGTGGCTGTAAAGTGACAAAAATTTCAATTCGTAAACCTTGAACTTGAATTGACCCGTTGGATTCCTCGAGGCGGGAACCATCGAGGGCAGACGATGGCGTCTCCGTTGACGAGAGGTTGAACCGGCTCCAAGATTCGAAGCGGCGACCTCCCGGTGGAAGAGCTAGCGGTAACTCCTCGGTTGCGGGACGTTGGAAGGTTAAGGCGATGCGCGATGGGCGCGGGGCGGGGGCGGGGACAACAACGAGCGAGTAAACTGCAAGAGAGCGCACTTTTAAGTCTTTCAACCGGTTTAAGAGAGCGAGTCCCCGATGGAGATTTCATATCCAGTGCAAGGAAGCTGTCCCGACTCTTCAGCTACATAGTAACTGGATTCTCCGAGCCTCAGCTCGCGGTTCAGTTGCGTTCCGCGTCTCCGCGTGGTACGCTCCCGTCCTTAGGAAAAACGCCGTATGAGCCATCAGACGTTGCCAAATTTTCTTCGATAAATACCGAATTTGCAGGGAAAATTGTGAATATTTTGTTCCAAAAATTTCAGACAATTTCGCACGCAATTTAATCTGAAATATCTGAACAATTCAAAGAAAAATTGCATGAATGTCGTCAAAAATACATGTTTTATCAAGGGAAATTTGGCAACTCTAGAATGTTCATACGGTGTTCTTCCTTAGCACGGCAGTACGGGACCCGTTTCGGGCCTTTACAGCCGGCCGAGTGAGCCAAAACGGCTCCAGGGTGGTCGAGATCAGAGCTGTCGTCCACGAGAGATGAAGGATACTGTAGATCTACTACACTGCCGTGCAACGCAAAAACGCCGTAAACGCCATTTTACATTTTTTGGAAACAATGTATCATGGCAGAAAAACTTGTGTACCTTGGGACAATGTTGTTCCAGAATTATCTCGCAAATACTATCAAAAACTTGACCTGGATGTTCGAGGTGCATGGGTAAAACAATTTTTATTTTATGAAGTGTCAAGTTCCAAAAAAATGAGAAAATCTTGATGAATTCACGGCGTTCTTGCATAGCACGGCAGAAATTTAGGGGGGAAAACTTTACCACTGATCGATGATCATGTTGATCTACAGAAGACTTTGGCTTCTTCCGCTGTAAGAGACGACATCCAGTGGGTGTAATAAGGAATAATTGGGCAATTCTGACTCGTGCTCGTTATAAAGCATGTCATAAAGGCCGTGATCTCTTCACCAACAATGGAACATCGAAAGAAGCAACATTTCGGTGGTTGGGCGGTTTTTTCCACTTTCAAGGTCGCTTGCCATTTGAAGACACGCAGTTACGTACGTTAATGGAAATTTCCATTATCTTCAAAGATAGACATTCAACAAGTTGCATCGAGGCAGTCTTTTGATCAATGATTTATATTGTGTTGAGGAGGAACTTCTAACAAAAGTGCACTGAAAAAAATTGTCACGAAACATGTTTTAAATGAGACAGACCCTTCTTTGATTTAAAGGCATTTCTTCAGAAACAGAAAACATTCTTTAAACCGGAGGGCATGTCTTATGTCTAATTTAAAAACTGTTTTTCGACCATTTTCTATTCGAGTAAGTCCTCAAAATTTTAAAAACGCCATTCACAAAGCCTTCTTAAAATTATTACCTTCTAGCAGAAAATCTTAGAACCCTTTTGATGCCACGAATAGTCCCTAACTGCTAAAAATGACGTTTTCACGAGGAAAGTTTTGGGTCAAA